ATCTTGTTTCGGTATTGTGACGATATTTGCCTGCAATAGTTCTTTAGGAATTTTAGTTGAATAACCTACGGCAGGGGTAGGCAACCTTTTAGCAGCACTGTGCCGATATAGGATTGTGATGTCCCGTAGCGAGCGGGTCCTATTTTTTTTTAAATTGAGGTGTGTATGCTGCTGTATTCTGCTTGTGCTATTTATACTGTAATTGCTTTGTATTGTTGTATTTGTGCGCATATGAACTATTATATTGTATATGTTCAGGAGTAGTTTGTGGTATCATGTATGATACATATGAATGTGGGCTGTGTATGGGGGCTGCTTGTGGAATTGTGTGTGTGGATGGATATGTCACATTGTGTGTTTGGTAGTGTGTGCATGTGTGGGGGCTGTTTGGGGTATTGCATGTGAGAGACTGCATGTGGGGTTGTGTGCATGTATGTGGGTTACGTTTGTGCGGATTGTATGTATGTTTGCTTGTGGGCTGTTCGTACTATTTGTATGAGGGGGTGGTTATTATGCATTTCTGTGTAAAGCTAGCAGTGTGGGTGGCTTCCCTGGGTTGTAAAGGGGACCAGGCTGCCCAGGTACATGTCAAGGAGATCACTTACTCTATGTGCTGCAATGCATAAATTGAGGATTGTCCTTCACCACCTTTTCGTATTAGCAGATATCTGAAGTTTCACTGGGACTCCTGATAGGCCAGAGCCTGTTTGGCAGTAGCAGCCTTGAGTGCCGTGCAAAGACACCTTGAGTGCCGTGCATGACACTAGTGCCGTAGGTTGCCTACCCCTGACCTAAGGCATTAAACATTTCCAACAAATCTGTTTTTATGTTATTTTTTTATTAACTTATAAAAAGGATTATTAAATCCATCTAGCCCTGGTGTTTTTTTTGTTTCTAATTTGCTCTTTTTGCTCTTTTTTTTTTAGGCGATTAGACATAAGTTTGTCAGCTTTATTGCCTAGATGGTACCATTTCCTTCTTAAGAAATTTAAAGGATTATTAGCCTTCCTCATTAATTGATCATTAATTAGTTTTTCAATATCTGATATTTTGTTAGAAAGTTGTATTGAGGGAGCTAGATTGTTTTGATAGTGTAAGTCATCTAGGTTTATATATAGCTCTGCTAAGTTTTTAAATGTATCTTTATTACGTTTTTTTTCCTTAGATGTTAAGCTTATCAAATGGCCAAGTGACTGGTGCCGTTACCACTTTCCCTCTATTTTCACTAAAAAACAAATCTGTTTGTTCTTGAATGTATTTCACATTCATATCATTTTTTAACACCTAGTCATTCAATTTCCATTTCCGTCTATATTCTTTAATTTGATTGTCTAAATCCATAATTATCGGGTTATGGTCGGACCATGAAGTTGTAGTAATAAAAATCTTTTTTATGGCTTTTGCTACAGATCTATCACCTAATATCAAATCAATTCTAGAATATGAGTTAAAAGACTTAGAAAAACACAAGAAATATTTTTCGTTGGGGTGGAAGATCCGCCAACAGTCCAACAGAGCATGCAGTTTCATAACTTCCAAGAATCTTTTAGCATTATTTATTAATTTACTATTTTTTTTTTTTTCAGTGATCTTTTGTCTAAGTCTAGGTCTAAAATACAATTAAAGTCTCCCATAATTACAACCTGACCTACTTTAATACGCTCAATTTTATACAGGACTTTTTTGATAAAAGAAATTGGAGATGTATTTGGCGCATATATGTTAGCTAGTATGTATTTTTGATTTTTGAGTTCACACACTAAAATAATAAATCTGCCTTCACTATCCAAAACTTGATGATTCATTTTCAAAGCAATATCTTTCAAGAAGAGAAAAGCAACCCTCTATTTTTTTTTTAGTTAGACCTGCACTTATAACTATGGAAAAACGTTTCGACTTAAATTTAAGGTTGTCCACCATGGTCCAATGGTTTTCTTGGAGGGCCCCAATGTGGATATATTCTCTTTTCATGTAATATAATATTTTGTATCTTTTAAAATGTGAGTTAATCCCCTGCGCATTAATTGTAGCCACTCTAATGACCATATTTTAACCAAATTCCGCTCTCATCTGGAGGGACTAGGAAACTCATCGCTTTACAACACAAAAATAACATAAAACATATACTCGATTGACTAATGATGGCTGCTTGAAATATATAAGCCGACATCCCAGGCCATTCGCTGGACATACGCTCATCTACTGGAGAATTACTCTCCCTAACACACTTGTCGGCAATAGCCTCCTCAGAGTGTCGACTAAAAACCTCTGTCTACGCCTTACTCATCTGATAGAAACAGTGGCCTAGCCCCCTAGGGCCTAAATATAGGCCCTTGTAATCCTTTGCCATGTTCCTATTTTTTAGTTTGACCAAAGGAGAAAAGAGAAGGGAGAAAAAAAAATATTTATGGTAAAATACTTAAATTTCAATTGGTTACAAATTATGTGAATACTTGTGCATTATATTTAATGATCAAAAGTTTGCTGTCACCAGTTTAAAACCTGTTTTAGGGATTTTCACTCCAAATGTAAATCTATCTTTAATTAACTGTGTAGCTCAAGCATGTCAAACTCAAAGTCTGGCATGGGTCACATAAACAAGGTTTAAGTTTATGTGGGCCGAAAAAAAACATACCTTAAATTTTCATAGAAACATAGGTTTAGTTTAAAAAGTACAATATAAACAAAAAACAGCATTCCCCTCTACTAAACCACAGCAACCCCCTTTTCTAAACCCTAATCTCCCCTCTACTAAACCACAGCACCCCCTTTACCACCCTGTGCCAAATCTTATCCTCCCGCTGACACACACACATACTCACACAATGAAAGACACACACACATACAGGCACACTGACAGACAGACACACACACTGACAGACACACACACATACTCACTGACAGACACACACACAGACTCACTGGCAGACAGACATACACATACAGACACATTGACAGACACACACACATACTCACTGACAGACAGTCACACACATGCTCACAACAAGAGGACATAGTCTTAAATTAGAGGGACAAAGGTTTAAAAATAATATCAGGAAGTATTACTTTACTGAGAGGGTAGTGGATGCATGGAATAGCCTTCCAGCTGAAGTGGTAGAGGTTAACACAGTAAAGGAGTTTAAGCATGCGTGGGATAGGCATAAGGCTATCCTAACTATAAGATAAGGCTAGGGACTAATGAAAGTATTTAGAAAATTGGGCAGACTAGATGGGCCGGATGGTTCTTATCTGCCGTCACATTCTATGTTTCTATGTTTCTATGTTTCTCACTGACAGACACACACACATACTTGCTGACAGACACACACACACACACACACACACACACTTAATAACAGACACACACACAGACACACACACACTGACAGACACATACTCACTGACACACACACACACACACATACTTGCTGACACACACAGACAGACAGACACACACAGACACCCACATACTCATTGACAGACAGACACATACGCATACTCACTGACAGACACACACAGACACTGAGACACACATACTCGCTGACAGACAGACACACTGACAGACACACACAAACATACTCACTGACAGACACACACACACACACACAGATTCACTGACAGACAGACACACACACACACACAGACACACATACACACATACTCACTGACACAAACACACACACACACACTCACTGACAGGCAGACAGACATGCACACACACACACTCACTGACAGACAGACAGACATACATACTCACTGACAGACACACACACATACTCACTGACAGACACACACATACTTGCTGACACACACACACTCACTGACAAACACACACACACACACTGACAGACAGACACACACACTGACACAGACAGACACACACACACACTTACACATTCTTGCACACATACTTTTCTTTATTGCTCCCTACCTTTTGGAGCCGATGTGAGGCATCTCCCTGGGGTCCTTCAATCTCCTCCTCACTGCTCTCTCATGCGGTTTAGTGATGCCGGGTGCCAGAATATGACGTCATATTCCAGCGCCAGACTTCACTACAGACGGCGCGAGGGAGCAGTGAGGAGCAGGAACACTGAGCTCCCTCGCTGGCCCTCCTCTCTGGCCGGGTAAGTTTTAGTAGAGTAGGCACCTGCAATGTGGGGAAAGCAGGTGCCTACTCTGCTATAACACCAGCATGTACTCGCGGCTTGCGGCCCGCGAGTTTGACATGCTTGGTGTAGCTGTACATGCTTCTTTACTGTTGTCTTTCCCCATATAGATATTTATAGTCTGTGCCTTTAGTTCCCATTCTCAGCGTGATATACAAAAGTTACGTTCTATTTTATATCTCTTATTTCTATATAGTGCTTTTATTTTTGGCTATTTTAACAATTTTCTCCAATTAAATGAAAAAAAAAATTAATTTCTATTTTTAATCCAATAGAAATGTAGCATTGTATCTGTTTCTTCTGTTTTCTTTTCCTATACTTTCAGTTTTAATTTTAAAAATATATATATTTATGGTAAAATATAGACATGTGCAACTCATTTCGATTCGAATTTAAATTCAGACGAATTTCGGCAATTCGGACATTTGGATGCTTCCAAATGTCCGAATTTTGGAAGTGCCAAATTTCGGAAGTGCCGAACCAAACCGAATTCTAATCCTAACCCTAACCTAACCCCTAACCCCTAATCCTAACCCTACCCCTAACCCTACCTGTGCCTATGTCCCCTTACACCACATCCTTCCCTTCATCCTCCCTCTCATTCCTGTATTAGCCTTCAAATCGTCGTACAACTAATTCTTGTTCATTTCATCCCCTCTCTTCTTGCTTCTTACATTTTATATACCAAACCGAAAAAAGAATATGAGGGAAGAGGAGGGAAAGAGAGAGAGAAAAAAATAAAAATTAAAAAGATTCTTCTCCATTTCATGCTATTCCCTCCTTTCTCCCTTTTTTTCTCTTTCTCCTTCTTAATTTAAGTTATTTTCTTGAACAATGCAAGAAACAGCTCTGGCCGATTCCTGGAGGGTTCTCCATCCTGAGGACAGGGACTTTACGTTCTACTCACAGGTGCATCATGGACATAGCCGCCTTGATTACATCATGATAGCGCATGAATACTTGCATCTTCTCCTATCATGTGATATACAAACGACGGTCTGGTCGGACCACGCCCCGGTCTTAGCCACGATGCGCTCCCCTCTCTTCAAGCCTAGAAGTAGACAGTGGAGACTGAATACACAGGTGATTGAGGACCCCTTGCAACAGGCTGAGACGCGGGAGGTCCTGCAGCAATATTTTGCAGAAAACCGCACTCCGGATACCTCGCCTCAGATTCGGTGGGAAGCTTATAAATGTGTCCTACAGGTCCACTTCATCAAGATCTGTACCAAGCGTAAACAGGAGCACAACAACAAACTAAAGGAACTATACACCCGGGCTTCGTTACTCGAGCAGGTACACAGATCGGCCGCGACGGACGACAACCACTGCGCACTCTTAGAAGCCAGAAGAGAACTGAAAAACCTCCTATCCCGGAATTTTCTATATACGCTCTGTAAGTCCCACAGATTCTATTACGAGCACTCAAACAAATGTGGGCGCATGTTGGCTAGGATGATTCAAAAGAAGCGGAGACAGTCCCAAATCACGATGCTGCAAACTGCAGGGGCACCCGCCATACGACGCCCTGATGGGATCATGTCTAGGTTCCTCGAGTTTTACTCTAAGCTCTATGACCTACCTGCAGCTACTGGCATGGAGGAGTCGCAACGGAAGATGACCAGAATAAGGGAATACCTGGAGCGATACGTCTCCCGGAGGCTTACCCAAGCACAGGCGGAGTCCCTGGATGCCCCCATTTCCTTAGAGGAGTTGTCGGGTGCCCTTAAGGCCGCAAAAGAAAACAAGGCCCTGGGACCGGATGGGTTCCCGGTACAATACCTATGGACCTTTGGGTAGATCCTCCTGCCGGAGCTGCTAGTGAGCCTTAACTGCATTCTGGAGGGTGGGAGGTTTCCAGAGGATACCCTTATGGCTACGGTGGCGGTGGTGCCGAAGGAGGGAAAAGACCCCACATCGTGCACAGGGTATAGGCCCATCTCCCTCCTCATTGCGGACCTTAAATTATTCACGAAGATCCTCGCACTCAGGGTTAGTGGGGTGATCCCGGACCTGGTACACCCAGACCAGACAGGGTTCATCCCGGGACGAGAAGCAAAGGATAATACGGTCAGGGCTCTCAACCTCATGCATAACAACAAGACTACCGCCCGAGGGGGCCTTCTGCTCGACACGGACACGGAGAAGGCTTTTGATCGGGTGGATTGGCAGTTCATGAGGGAAACGCTTCGGAAGATGGGCTTTGGCCCGCATATCCAGGCCTGGATAGCGGCGCTCTATACGACTCCGAAGGCCCGCCTGCGGATAAACGGAGCCTTATCCCACTCCTTCTCGATTAGCAACGGAACAAGACAGGGGTTTCCCCTGTCCCCCCTCCTGTTTGCCCTCACGCTCGAGCCGTTTCTTGCGGCGGTCAGACAGGACGGGGGTATAACGGGGTTCACCGTAGGGAAGAGAACACAAGGTAGCTGCCTACGCAGACGATCTGCTATTTTTTATTGCAAACCCAACGGTGACACTCCCAAATTTACTTCAAGCCTTTCGAGTTTATGGGGCACTCTACAATTTAAAGTTGAATGCTGATAAAGCAGAATCTCTGCCCCTTGCCCTTCGGCCCAAATGAGGGCGAATTTCCCCTTCAGATAGTGTACACGGCGAATACGATATCTCGGCATATGGCTGATGGAAGACCTGTCCAGGCTTTTCCCTGAAAACGACCTACCTTTGCTGGAGACGCTGGGAGCGGATATGAAGAGATGGGGGGCGGCTTGTGTGTCTTGGTTCGGGAGAATAAACACTGTTAAGATGAACCTCTTGCCGTGCCTCCTGTACCTGTTTCAGACAATCCCAATCCGTGTCCCTGTGACCTTTTTCCGCACCCTAGACACAGCCGTTAGACGTTTTATATGGGCAGGGGGTGCTCCTAGACTCCGACGTGAACTGTTGATCCGCCCTAAGTGCAGTGGTGGTGTGGCTTTGCCCTCTCTCCTTACTTACTACCAGACTACGCATCTACTCCGGGTGGTGGACTGGCAAAGCAGTGGGTCAACCTTGAGTGCGTTCAGGCTAGGGGACGAATTCCGTGGGTCAGGTGGCTCCTGGAACCCATGCAGTTGACGGACATTCGGATGCACCCGCTCATAGAAGCAACCATACAAGTGTGGGCCACCGTCCGCTATAGGACAAAAGGATAATGGTTCAGCGCTAGATAATCTAAAAGAAACTAAAATAAGTATAAAAGCAGCAACCTATAGGAATGAAATATATTATCGTTAATAACGCTCGTTTTATCATTTGAAGTACATAGATACCTCGAGACTCCTCTTAATTATGCCCTTATAGCCTAAATTTTGACTTTTGAATATGTGTAGGTCGCGATCACATGCTCCTTAATTATATCATATTTACATGTGCACTATAATGTCAATAACGCTCGTTTTATTACTTTAAGCATAGAAACATCTTTAGATTGCATTACAAAATGCTCCTATATCTTAAATTTTTACTTTTGAAAATGTTTTAAATTATGCATATTTTATGAGTGACGTCATTTTGGCGCCAAAATTCAAATGCTTATCTGTTTTTTTTAGCTTATAAAAGCATTTACTGTACCAGGTTTTTCTCTCTTTTTAATGCCATTTGATAAAGCCCTGTGTGGTGAAACGCGTTTTGGCTATTATTAGTTTGTTTTATATACTGATATATTATATTTTAATAAAGGAATACTGGCTTTTATTTTTGCCTATATATACTTTTAATTCCTTTCTTTTTAATTTGAATTACCTGGTCACCGACTTGGATTGAAGTACGTTACTTTCCAAGAATCCAAGGTGGGGATTGTACCACCTGCGCCACCATATTGAGCAGTAGTTCCTGCTCATATACATGCGAGTATTTTACCATTTTATTTGTTTTTAAAATAATTCAGTGAGCACTATATACGTCTCCCATCTCTCCACATATCGAGGAATTACTCAGGACTTCATCACCCATATCCGACCAGTGGGGTTTGATGCCACTGAACGCTAAGAATACTTGAGCAAGTTTTTTTGCTCATGCTAAGGTGAGTTCTTTACCTACTCACAGACTTACATCTGAAAATTTATCGACATCCTACACTATTGGAGTTCTTTTTATCTCTTTTATGTATCCACATATCGACAAGCGAATCAAGACATCTCCAACATAAGAAGCTTCAGATATTCATTTGGACTTTATATTCACCCAAGAAATATACAGGTTTATCTATTACTTGGGACTTTTTATTATACTTATTTATTCCATTTATATCACCTCTCTGTCCCTTTAGCGCGACCGTTGGGTTTGCTTATCTGTTTTTTTTAGTTTATAAAAGCATTTACTGTACCAGGTTTTTCTCTCTTTTTAATGCCATTTGATAAAGCCCTGTGTGGTGAAACACGTTTTGGCTATTATTAGTTTGTTTTATATACTGATATATTATATTTTAATAAAGGAATACTGGCTTTTATTTTTGCCTATATATACTTTTAATTCCTTTCTTTTTAATTTGAATTACCTGGTCACCGACTTGGATTGAAGTACGTTACTTTCCAAGAATCCAAGGTGGGGATTGTACCACCTGCGCCACCATATTGAGCAGTAGTTCCTGCTCATATACATGTGAGTATTTTACCATTTTATTTGTTTTTTAAAATAATTCAGTGAGCACTATATACGTCTCCCATCTCTCCACATATCGAGGAATTACTCAGGACTTCATCACCCATATCCGACCAGTGGGGGATTGACGCCACTGAACGCTAAGAATACTTGAGCAAGTTTTTTTGCTCATGCTAAGGTGAGTTCTTTACCTACTCACAGACTTACATCTGAAAATTTGTCGACATCCTACACTATTGGAGTTCTTTTTATCTCTTTTATGTATCCACATATCGACAAGCGAATCAAGACATCTCCAACATAAGAAGCTTCAGATATTCATTTGGACTTTATATTCACCCAAGAAATATACAGGTTTATCTATTACTTGGGACTTTTTTTTACTTATTTATTCCATTTATATCACCTCTCTGTCCCTTTAGCGCGACCGTTGGGTTTGCTTATCTGTTTTTTTTAGCTTATAAAAGCATTTACTGTACCAGGTTTTTCTCTCTTTTTAATGCCATTTGATAAAGCCCTGTGTGGTGAAACGCGTTTTGGCTATTATTAGTTTGTTTTATATACTGATATATTATATTTTAATAAAGGAATACTGGCTTTTATTTTTGCCTATATATACTTTTAATTCCTTTCTTTTTAATTTGAATTACCTGGTCACCGACTTGGATTGAAGTACGTTACTTTCCAAGAATCCAAGGTGGGGATTGTACCACCTGCGCCACCATATTGAGCAGTAGTTCCTGCTCATATACATGTGAGTATTTTACCATTTTATTTGTTTTTAAAATAATTCAGTGAGCACTATATACGTCTCCCATCTCTCCACATATCGAGGAATTACTCAGGACTTCATCACCCATATCCGACCAGTGGGGTTTGATGCCACTGAACGCTAAGAATACTTGAGCAAGTTTTTTTGCTCATGCTAAGGTGAGTTCTTTACCTACTCACAGACTTACATCTGAAAATTTATCGACATCCTACACGATTGGAGTTCTTTTTATCTCTTTTATGTATCCACATATCGACAAGCGAATCAAGACATCTCCAACATAAGAAGCTTCAGATATTCATTTGGACTTTATATTCACCCAAGAAATATACAGGTTTATCTATTACTTGGGACTTTTTATTATACTTATTTATTCCATTTATATCACCTCTCTGTCCCTTTAGCGCGACCGTTGGGTTTGCTTATCTGTTTTTTTTAGTTTATAAAAGCATTTACTGTACCAGGTTTTTCTCTCTTTTTAATGCCATTTGATAAAGCCCTGTGTGGTGAAACGCGTTTTGGCTATTATTAGTTTGTTTTATATACTGATATGTTATATTTTAATAACGGAATACTGGCTTTTATTTTTGCCTATATATACTTTTAATTCCTTTCTTTTTAATTTGAATTACCTGGTCACCGACTTGGATTGAAGTACGTTACTTTCCAAGAATCCAAGGTGGGGATTGTACCACCTGCGCCACCATATTGAGCAGTAGTTCCTGCTCATATACATGTGAGTATTTTACCATTTTATTTGTTTTTAAAATAATTCAGTGAGCACTATATATGTCTCCCATCTCTCCACATATCGAGGAATTACTCAGGACTTCATCACCCATATCCGACCAGTGGGGGATTGACGCCACTGAACGCTAAGAATACTTGAGCAAGTTTTTTTGCTCATGCTAAGGTGAGTTCTTTACCTACTCACAGACTTACATCTGAAAATTTATCGACATCCTACACTATTGGAGTTCTTTTTATCTCTTTTATGTATCCACATATCGACAAGCGAATCAAGACATCTCCAACATAAGAAGCTTCAGATATTCATTTGGACTTTATATTCACCCAAGAAATATACAGGTTTATCTATTACTTGGGACTTTTTATTATACTTATTTATTCCATTTATATCACCTCTCTGTCCCTTTAGCGCGACCTATATACCCATTTTTGTCCACCGTCCGCTATAAGCTAGGCCTTACGACCAACCCGAATCCGCTGACCCCGGTGGTCTACAGCCCCGATATTGCGAAAGGATTGGCGACACGAGATGTAGCGGCGTTTGGTGACCCGGACAAACTGTACCTGAGAGAATGGTGCTCCGGAGGAAATTTGAAACCCATTGAGGCCCTGGTCTCCCAGGCACCCCCAACGGGGATAACCAGCTTCCGATATCAGCAAATAAGGCACTACTATC